GTGTTCCCGGCGATGATGGTCGGATTACCGCTTCCTGCGGTTCAGCCTCGGCCCTCGAGCACCATCACTCCACTCTCTTCTGACCGCTTACACGTTCCCTGACAGACGGACACTCTAAATTGCTCCTTCGTCCCTCTTTGTTCTCAATGTCGGCCAGGATCAAAAATTTCCGCTTGACGTGGGAAATCTGTTCGCGACAGGAATCGGTGATCTGTCCCGTTCGTTTCTTCCCGTCCTGTTCCTGGGATATCCCGCATTCTACAGTGAACGTCGACCTGTTTCGGAAGCTTATGGCTGAAAGCTTCAAGGCCCTGTCATTGTCTATCCCCTCGCTAACCGCTTTCGGCTCCTACGACGGTTGCCGATGCCATCTTGCCGGTCCTTTTTTTCTGCATTCTACCCTTGCTCTGGTGGCAACAGGGTGGCACTTTCTCCTCTGGGAACCGTGCCTGAAACATTTCCTTTTCTCCCCCAGCGTCAAACCGTTCCATATATGAAGCCTAGGTTCGCCCTCTACGCTACCGCCATCCACGGTTCGGTACCTATCGCACACCCACTCTCACCCACGTTGCACTCATGGACACGAGGAGAGATCCTACCAACGTTTATTCCTACACTCCCCATCAATCTACCTGGAACCCCTCCACCCTGCCCCAGTCTCATTCCATCCCCCTCCACAATCAACCTCAGTACCCCCATCCCCAGATGCCGAGACAAGCGGTCCACCAGGACCAGATGCACGACCCCATGATGCGCCAAGACTACGCCCACGATTACCCTTACGGCCGTGATCCAAATTCCTCTACGTCATACTCCCGGCAACAGGTGCCCACTATGGTGAACAACCCTCAGCTCTACAATGACGATTATCACGGCGCTCCGGATCCACGCGGACCTCAGTCGACCCAAGTGCATTACCCACCTACCCCGACACAATATGTGCCACAGTCGCCGATCGATGGTTCCATGCAATATCCGGCTTCTCCGCCACGCCCGTTCGCTTGCGATATGTGTGCCTTATCCTTTAATCGACAACACGACCTAAAGCGACATAGGGACACCCATTCCGGCGACAAACCTTTTCCGTGCGAGTCCTGTGGAAAGGCTTTCACCCGTAAGGACGCCTTAAAGAGGCATCAGGTAAGCGAACGTTGCCCCACCTCTGGCGATTTAATACCGATCAAGAAACTCCAGACCGTCAAGAAGTGTGGCCCATTGAAACAGTAGCGAATCTATTCCTCGCAACGCTGATAGCGAGCGTTAATCTTGTTTCACACCTTCACCGTACGGAGACGTCCGAGCACGCAGGAGACCTCTTTTTTTACTCGTTTCGTTCGCACGCGCAAGTCCGTTGATTTCGAACTGCTTTCTGATGTCGTATATTGCACTGTTCCTTACTAGTCGTAAATATCTCTTGGTTTACTGGGTTAATTTTCGTTGATCTTGACACAATCTATATGATGTTTCAATCGCGTAAGCTTCGGGTTGATCGCAATCTTTCGTACACATGAGCTACGGACACCGGAGAACGAGCGGAGAGAGATACCGAATTTGACTAATGCTACCCCACTGCTGATTATAGTGCTTACTAGGCTTGGTGGTGGCCCACCACGCGATCTCCTACGGCCGCCGCCGGCTAGATAATCAGCTGGTGGAAGAATCAGCAAAGACCTTTTCGAGTATCCAAGCATCTCTCGGTTGGATCTTCTTGTAGTAATCCTTGTGAAGACCCGCCTCTCTGAACCCGTGCCGTTCGTAAAACGCCCTCCCGGCCGTGTTCGATATCTGAACGTGGAGATATATACGGTCGATCTTCGGAGATTGAGACTGAGTGACAGAGTCCAGCAACTTTTTCATCACTTGCGAACCTACGCCTCGCGACCGGTAGGGCTGGCAAAACGACGAGAAGACACGTCATTTTGACGTTCTGATGTGAAAGAGCAGACCGTTCGCACCGCCAGGATGCCCATTGTCATCAGGTAGAGGGAAGTGCGCCCTTTTGACTCTGACTCCAGTCGACACGTGAAGTTTCCGACTGGAATGTCATTGTAATACACTACGTGGTCCTTCCGGTTAGAGGGCGCGAAACCGCTTTTTTCCCAAGTGCGATTAAGGGGGCGCGCTCACCGAGTTGACAGAATTCCTCTACCTCCAGGGCAAGGATATCTTTGTAGTATTTCTCGGCGTATTTTACCGGGAACAGCACAGAGTTCAGTTTCCGCACCACGCCGATGTTGTTCTGTGTGAGGTGGGAGAAAGTGACCTTTGCCGGTGATTTTCTAGAATCGGTCGAGGAAGACATCGATCCTTGCAAGTTACCAATCGTGGGAAACCCAGGCGGCCCCGTGGCGCTTTCCTATTGCTCGAGGTCGGAACCGCTCCGTGTTGCCGAAAGGAAAGAACGGGTCTGCTAAACCTTTGTGGGGTGCGGGGAATAGACGGATCCGCTTTTGGATCCTCGTCAGCCGTCACAGGGCCGAAAAAGTTCCCATGGATTTGTGTCTCAGGACCTCATGCGCGCGAGACGAGTGAAAGGCATCCAATCGCGACCGGTGTCGTCTGATACCATCCTATGGCCTCTTCAGTGGATCTACACAGTCCAGGACTAACCGAGCGCTCTCGACCCCACGCGATCCCGCCCAATAACGCCCGATAGGTCAGCGGTCATATGCCCTTCAGGGGCGAACCCACCCCGATGAAGTCCTTGTTGTCCGGAAAAGATGCGGTCTACGCTTTACGTTATGTTGCCACCAAGGCGTGTGAGAGAGCACGTCCTGTCCTTCGCTCGATGGTCCGAAGGCACCCCGACAAGTATTGTTTCACAAAGATGCGCATTGAAACTGACCATCAGCGCGCTTTGCGGTGGGGCCTAAGGTAATAATTCGTGAAATCGTCCTTTCTTCCCTTCCAGCTTGTCCATCTACTCTATTGCTCACCCATCCGTTTACGATAACAACGAACCCTGACCATCCCTGGATCTCTCCATGAGCCAGAACCTTCGCACATTGTACGTCAGAACCCTCTTTTTTTTTCTCAGCCCGTGCAGGCTGTCCAAGGGCCTCGGCTGCGCCTGTTCAAACAGCCAGCGCCGCTCTCTGTGTCACTTCAAACGTCCGGGCTTTTCCCACCCCCGGCATTCAAATCTGCGGTGCAATCATCGGTATCGGTCAAGGTCGTTTGCCGAGCTTTGCGCGATACGAGCGCATCCCTTGCATCTTTTGGATACACACGAGTTGCGCTTCTTAGCGGGTGCCCCGACGCCACGCCTGGATTGTATGCGTACCTTGATTTCCGTGAGTCAGGATCTACCGTGGCAAGGTACCGACGAGAGATTTCCCTTCCCCAAGTCGACGTTCTGTATACGTACCTGAATGCAGACTTCAGCTTCAACATTTATCCGGTGATTAACTCTACGTGGTCTTCTCTCGAGTCTAGATCTCGAGGCCTCAATACGTGGCTAGTGCGGTCGGGATGGAAAATGTTCGGAAATTGCGGTCGCTCTCACCGTTCTCCTCCCTCTCTTCGAATTCTCAGCGATGCAGGGTCCAACTCAATGCAAACGCGCCCTACTATTACTACACGTTAGGGATATCTGTACTCACATGGAGCTGTGCTAGCATCCATTCCACTTATCGATCAACAGCCATTTCTCCTGAACTGTTCGAATGAGCCTCATTCATCGCACTCCCGCTCCCTCGCTCCGTCAACTACGGGTACCTTACAATACTTACATGCCTCTCACAATAAGGCCATCTAGGGTCCGAACAGGCCCGACTTCCGAACATCATACATGGTGATTTATTGCACGTCGTTACCATGGAACCATTGAATCTGTGAGACGGCCGGAGTAGCATAAAAGTCCTGTATGCGTATATAGTCGACGGGATAACAAGATGCAGGCTAAAGAAAACATCCGAGGAAGTGGGGTAACAAGGTGCAGGGTAGAGAAAACATCCGAGGACGTGGGGATAATCGTACAACAAGGTGGACTTGGTGAAAACACTCTGACATGGGGGATGGGATGTGGGGGGCGAGTAACATGAGGCTAGGGAAACAGACACACATCAAGTTACAGACAACATTGGATGGAGACAACAGATAGAATGTCAACAGTTTTCTTACAGACAACGGCCGCTACAACATGAACGATGTCACTCAGCAAGCCCTGATTTTGCATTGCAGAAAACGCACCTCTAGACTCTCATTTGACGTTCATGCCGGGAACGCCGCTTATTATGTCCCTTGTTGAGTGGACGTGTAGGGGCCTGCGCAATGTATACGTCCTCAAAGCTTCTGAAGACGCACAGCCCCGTCGAACTGTCATTATCAGCGAGCATCGCCCACAGGCAATGCCAGCCGTCGCGCTCCTTGAATTTGAACACCACCCCAAGGTGCGTCTGATCCCAGCTCGTCTCCTTGGAGCTTCGGGCATCAAACGCCTTGTCCCGCATCCGAATCGAAGTGCATCGGTCAACGGTCAGGTTTACGTTAGCCTGGCCGCCGCTCTCGGGGAATACCCCATTTAGCTGGGCGTTCATCTCCAGAACTTTGCTGAGACCAGGGAACTGCGGGTTGTACCCGTCGACTCGGATTTGGTATGATGTTTTATCGGAGAAGTGGAGGGTGATACTAGGGTGGTTCGGTGACCTGCGTACTTGCACCAACGTCTTGCCAACCAACGAGACAGGATCCACCTCGTCAGGAGCAGGATCAAGCCGGGTGGATTTGGTGTTGGCGGTCTGCTTGCGACCACTGAACAGGCTGGAAGGGGTCGTTGTGGGCGAGGAAGACGAACATGAGGAGGCTGAAGAGCCGGTGATGCTATCGTCGTCCATGGTTGAAGTTGAACCAGCTGAACCAAATCAGTAGAAACTGGTGCGGTGGCCACACTTCGGCGTGGAGCGAAGCGAAGAGGCAAAAATCATAATTAAAGATTTCGTAACCAAAGCGGTTCCAATTCAACGATGATGAATATGCACAAAGTCCCTTATCTGGTCAGCGGCAGTGTAGCCAAGTGGTTACGGCGTCACGTTTAGGTATTAACCAATTACCGTGATGGGTTTCCCGCGCGAGTTCGAATCTCGTCACTGTCATTTTTTTTTCACTTGCCTCTTTGTCCTTCCTAAGCTCGCAAATGATTGATATGGTGAGATGTTTATACAAAAATGAAATCATTGCTCGTAAATACACAAGAACAACCCCTTCCTGCGCCGGTCCCCCGGGTTACTCGTTGAAGAAAACTAGAGGAGTATCAATGGTCTGGACGGCTTGCCAGGTTTTCGGATGTCCGTCCCTGTCCCGATTACCTTCATCGGTGAATATCGAATGAAACATGACGTCTTCGGTTCCCTGTAATGATTATTGTGTGAGCGATGGAAGCGGTAGCGATAGGCGGTGGGCGCAATACTTTGTTGGGTGGGTCATGGATCCTAGACCACGAGGATCAACAAAGGTGAGATCTCCGTTCCTGACTTTTCGAATCGCACGACTCTCGTAAAAAGAACGTACCTGACGTGAATGAATCCTTCGCCCTGATCGTCGTTGATTGCGGGGATTCTGATCTTTCCAAGGATAATCGTCCCGTACGTGCTCAATGCGCTGGAGACCAGGACGAGATCCTGTTTGAGGTCGAAGTGCGTCAATTCGTGGTCGGAGAGGTGTGCCGCGCGCGACCACATCCTAGGCTCATGCTTGTTCCAGTCGTGACGGGACTTGAGTATCTCATGCTTGATTGTGTGGGCCACGGCGGAGAACGCCTCTAAAGCATTCTCTGCTGGTGAATGCGGCTTGTTAAAGGTTAGCTGTTCCTCGGACGCTTCAAGTCATGTTTCAGAATATCCGGATTGGTCTGGGTACAACATCATAGCACTCACCCATTCGAGTGGCAATGGACGACAGTTGCTAAAGAGCAGGGTCGATCATTCTGGAAAGCTTCAACGACTTTGATTGCGTAGTTTGAAGCTCACTAGTGGAAAGGGTACTGTATTTGTCGTGTCGGTACAGTACTCTCACGCGGTTCTATCTTTAAGCGTCGTACCATTGATTTCACGGCTATCGGAGAAGCACAGACAGGAGTATGGAGGAGGCGGGCATCGCCATTTGTGACTTTCAATGGCCCTTGCGGACTTTCTAGACCTCAAACATTTTCACTAAGTAAGGGGAGACCCTAGCCGTTATCCGGGGCTCAAGGTGGTGCGATCCGTGGCGACTGCACCTCTCGGAACGTCCTTCCTTGGCCATAGAAAGGAATCGTCATCTCCAAGCTCGCGCTCTTTCCTCGTTGTTCACCCAGCACCAGTTCATAACTGCGGAATACATGGATGAAGGCACCACGAAGCACCTCGGACGACAAAGCGTTTCAAGTTCCACTGTTTCCCAAGAGGCCGACGAACCCGTGTCAGACACGAAGCCCGAACGCTCAGCGCGACAACTTCGCATGTCTAACCACAACCTCTCTGGGACAGCCGGAAGGCACTCTTCGCGTATGTCCCCGAACGCGCAGGGTGGGCGGCCATCGTGATCCCATGGTGGATTTCCTGTCAAGCGGCCCTACGCAGAGTACGTTTTCGGGAGTTTTGATAGAGCTGACATCGAACCCGCGCTAGCATCTGCCGTCAATCTCCGTCCTGTTCCTCAAAGAGATGAACGCGCGAGTAGAATGATACTCGAAGGGCAAAGGATTTGCGATGGGATTGGGCCGAGATCGACGGGATCGCATCGTGCCAGCAGGGTCGTGAATCGCTAGGCTCGACGCCCAAATTCGAGCGCGCGTTTACGTTGGCTTGTCCAGTTTATTGGGACTGTGTCAGCTTTGCAATCAAAGATGCGGCATGAGGTTGGCTGCCAGCGTTGCTCAACCGGCTATGGGCCGTTGTTCGCACGGGATGTTCCCTCCTACAAACGAACCGTCAAGACATTGCTCGAGATCTACGCACATAGCGAACCCGGATTCGGACGATCGTCTTATTCTCCTACCGATTCCCCCAGCGCCCAGACTTCCCGCGATGCCCTTTCGTGGAGGGGGCTTGGCATGTCTGGCAATCCGTGCCCCGCTCCTGTGAATTGGGACACCACCGGCTAGAAACAAAACTTGGTTTGCCCTCGTAACCCTCCTGTGACGAAGTGTCAGCGGTGTGTCCAACCGATGGAGTGACCGCCTTGTTATCACGAAGACGTTGGGAACCCGGATGCATTTAACTGCGTTGCTAGACGAAGGTTCTCCAAACCAACGTATCATTGTGAAATATCACTATTCGTAAATTAGACCCTCGTTTTCGTATGCTCGCATACCAAATCCCTGGGAGTTGGTCATCATAACAAGGCCGGGTCGATGGACTCGATACCTTTGGGGGCTGGTTGCTTGGTCCTGATGGTTGAGTGTGATTCAGAACTTTATTCAGAGAGAGATGCAGTAGCACAAGCCTTACTCCGTATTCGGCTTTTTCAGGTTTCTGTAATCCTTGGCTTGCAAGATGATCGCCTCGCTCGTTGCAGTTGAAGTGGCACCGTGACGGCCTGAATGATGTCCGGAGCTCTTAGAATCCTTACGTCCGGGGAGCTGGAACTCTTTGTCGATATCCCTTTGGGAACGAGTGACGCCACAGTACTTGCACTCGCAATCAGGGTACCCATCGGGGTCCTTTTCTGCCCCCATCATAAGCCAACGAGCGTGAACAAAGAACTCCTGGGGCGACCTGAAGGAATTGACGGTTTTCGATCCTGATGGAAAAGATGAATCACGTTGAAATGAAGGCGACAGGATCAGCGGATGGTCGTACCAATGAGATAATGGTCTACTCGGCCATCCTTTGTGTGGGTGAACATTTTGTAATCCGAGGGGAACTCAATCAGAAAGCACCGCCGGCCTATCATCGGCTTAAGATGGGCTGTTTATCATTCAGGGACTTGATTAACGAGGTCAGAGAAGGAGGTGCAAATCATACCGCTGAGATGTTGATCAGCGAGGAGGAAATTGTTTGTCAAGAGTTCCCCGAGCTTCTGCCTCCATTGATGCTGCGTATCGTCATTGGAGGGCTTCAAGCCGCTGATGCTACCGTCACTGTGAAATGACTGCGAGGTGTCTGGCCAGCGTTTGCTTCGGGCATCGGTTGCCTTGATTGTGATACCTGCGCTCGCTGGCTGGTCGTAGTAGGTGACTTCGAAGTAGGGGAACTCGATGTCAGGAGGTGGTTCTTTGTGAAGCTCGCTTCTCATTGTGTAGCTAGCAAGCAGCAAACTGTGAATTCCGTCGATTCTCACAGTCGGACGGAAGACCGCGACTAAGGTGAAAGCGGAGATGATGGTGACAGGTGATGTGCATCAGCTTGAATATGATCGACAGCCTTTGGATGGTTCCGCCTCTCCATGTTCGTCAAGATCTGTTCGGTCTCACGGTCCTCCTTCCTTCGCCGCTCCCACATTCCCATTCTTGCGCTTGCACAGATGTCTCTTTCGTCAACTGCTCCTGGTCCGATGGAATCCTCAATCGTGGACAAGGTACTCGTCCACGTTGCATTCAGCATAGCCCCCACTCGGCCTTCCTCTGATAACCCTGCAAGCTAACCCGCTTCTTCCAACCTTCGGGGCTCGTAATTACGAATGATTCCTTCCAACATAGGCATCATGCCGCCATGAGAAACAATGATGCTGCGAATGGTGAAACCCGTCTGTGACTCCCTTTCAACTCAACACGCATTGCGGAACGCTGAATACGAAATGTCCAGATTTCTCGGTTCAGATAGTGTCGGAAGTCTTCAAGGGCAGGGTACGTGTACTTCAAACAATGCTCTGCCAATCATCCCTCCTTACGAGCGACTCGCAGAGCACTCTCCAGCGCCACAGGATGGTGAACACTGCACTTGCAGACGAATTCAAGTGCGGACTCCACGCGTTGTCCCTGACTACCAAGACCCCAGAAGAGCTTCCGAAGGTTGCTTGATCGGTCTCCCGGCCCTCTTAGCCAGGGTAATCTCCTTGTGGTAGCTGTAGCACTCACGTCAATCTACTTTCACTCTGCTCAACGATCGAAGATCAACAGAGGAATTACCTCGGCCACCCGGTCAACAACTGCATGATTGCCGACAACTTTACAAAGAATAAATCTCGCGCAGCCTTCGTTTCCGTCCGTTTGTGCAAGCTGTCCTCTCCGATCGCCTAAAGCCATTGTTTGCGAGCCACTGATGGAGAGCTCTGATCGTATCTAGTAATCCTCCTGGTTACACTTTGACGTCGTCTGTCCGACGGATTCTGGCCGACGAACCCTCGGGACAAACCTAGTATGTGGCGCTTACTGACGTCCAAGCATCAGGATTATAGATAATCGGCGCTACGGTACTCCAGGGTCCCCTGTCCCTCTTCGTCCATTGTCTCAACCACCTTGGCTGAATGCAGTCCCATCCTCCAACGCCTGGGCCTTCAAGACATCGGGACGATGAACGGCCAGTGCTCCCTCCCATTCGTGCCTGGTACAGGGGTAAATTTTTCGAACCGTACTTCCTCTCCCGACTGACGGTGTCGTTACAGAAGATTCACCCAACCTTAACATTTCCGAAGTTCGTGGCGTTCCCATCCCACTACCTCTTGACCAAATGCCTCCTCACGCACATATTCCACATCTTCGCGTAATTTCGGATTCACCCTCGATGGTGTCCCCACAGTACATCCCTTCCCCTTCACTTCCACCCCGTAACCCCGGTCATTTGGCCTCCACTCGTTCACTACCTTCCTATCCAGAATATATGCGGCCCTCACACCCTCAACACGGACATTCTCTGTCAGATGACTATGGTCGATCATCAGCACGGCACTATCGCAGTGCCAGCTCCTCTCCGTACAGGGGTACGGCCCAGCTTCTCCACCTTGACCAGCCCTATCCCCGATCCCGGAATCATAGCACTTACGGTCCCCAGGACTCCCCACGGCTTCCTACTTTCTCTCCCCTCAACGAACCCCCCTCTGCTCCGCCACAACTCGATAGGTTTTCGCAGACTTACGCGAGGTACGAATGTACATATTGCGGCAAGACTTTCAACCGCCCCAGTAGTCTCAAGACCCACACGAACACCCACACCGGGGAGAAGCGTATGTTGTTTCG